TACGGCGAGAGCCACATTTTGAAAACGACCCGCCCTCCATCTGAAAAATTGCTAACACATCTTGAGCTTCGGAATTCTAAATTGTGAGGAAATCTCAAGCGGAACGCCCGGCCCGCCCTAAAAACTGGCCGCCTGGTGCGACAAGGAGATGTTACCCAGAAGGAGAAGGAATGGAGGCGGAGGAGGAGGAGGAGGAGGAAGAGGAGGAAGAGGAGGAGGAGGAGGCGGAGGAGGAGGCGGAGGAGGAGGAGGGGGAGAGGAGGAGGAGAGGAAGAGGAGGCTGAGGAGGAAGAGGAGGAACGGAGGAGGAGGAGAAGGGAGGCGGAGGAGGAGGAGGGAGGAGGAGGAGGAGGCGGAGGAGGAAGAGGAAGAGAGGAGGAGGAGGCGGAGGCGGAGAGGAGGAGGAGGAGGAGGAGGAGGCGGAGGAGGAGGAGGAGGAGGCGGAGGAGGAGGGAGGAACGGAGGAGGAAGCCGCCTTGGGGGCTTCTGGAGCCGTCTTCGGGCCCCGGCCACCCCGGGCCGCCCCGGGCCGCTTCGGGGGGGGCCTGCGGGGCGGCAGCGAGGGGCCGCCCTGGGGCCCGCCGCGGGGCCGCACCGAGAGCACGCGCGGAGAGCACTCAGCCGCATCTCGGCGGCACGCACCAGGGGGGTGGGGGGAGGGGGACGGCTTCTTTATGCGGGATGACGATGATTTTTTTTAAAATGGGAGAGAACGATTAAAACATAGTTCTCTGCGATTTCTGCACAATTTTCTGACTGGAGGAGAACGATTGGAAAATAGTTTTCCAGCCCGCGGCCGGTTTTTTCTAATCGTCATCTTGGGCGCCGCCGCGTGAACACGACCCCCGGTCATTTATTAACCGTCACCCTCCATTATCTTGGCGGCACACACAAGGGGGGTGGGGGGGAGGGGGACGGCGTCTTCGAAGGAGGCTGCCTCTTAGAAGGCGCGGGCCTTACATCTACACACGTGGCCCGCCGCTTCTGAGAAGCAGGGGTGCCTCGGAGAGCCTTCCCCCCTCCCCCCTACCCCCCTTTGCGCGTGGCCGAGCATCCGCGCCCTCGCGGTCTGGGTTCTGGACGCGGTCGCACGGATGCGATCCGCGCGGGGCACCCGCGAACAAGAAGCGCCCCGCATCCGCGGGATCGCGGCCCAGGGGCCCAGGGCCCGCGAGGCCGCGGACACGGACACGTCTTGCGCCCTCGCTCGAGGCTCCGGGCCTCGCGGTGCAGGGCCAGGACCTGGCCGCAGGTCTGCTCGTCCAGGCGCGCCTCCCTCTCCAGCGTCTCCCGGTCGATCTGCATGGTTTGGCAGCGAGCCCGGGGGGGGAAGTCAGAAGGGGCGGGCCTTCTCAGAAGGCTCGGAAGTCCCAAGGCCTTCTGAGAAGTTTTCTAGGCCTTCCCCGAAGGCACAGACATCGTGTCAGAAGGCCCGAGGCCTTCTGAGAAGCCCCACCGCATTCTGAGAAGGCCGTCTCCTGCTCACTTCCCCCCCGCGCTCGCCGCCGCATGGTGAGCTCCAGCTTCTTCTCGGGTGTTGCTAGGAGTGCCCATGGCCCAAGATGCCCTCGGGCTTTCAAGGACGCCCACGGAGGCTCCCACGGCCTCAGGAGCACCCCATCACGAGGCCCAGAGGGCCCCAGGGGCTCCCAGCATGGAGCGAGGAGCTGGGGGCACCTTGAGCCAGGGGCACCTCGAGCCACCCCCGATCTTCTCCTCGGCGCGCCGCTGCAGAATGGCCTTGGCCTCGCGCGCCTGCTCGGCGATGGCCGGCGGCGCGCGCGAGGGGCGGTCTGCAAAGTTCGGGGCAGGCAGGGGGGGTCCACAGACCCCCCTAGGCCCGTGACAGAAATCACGACGAAAGGCCTTTTCCTCCTCCTCCTCCTCCTCCTCCTCCTCCGCCTCCTCCTCCTCCTCCTCCTCCTCCTCCTCCTCCTTATCTCCACCTCCTCCTTATCTCCGCCTCCTCCCTCCTCCTCCTCTCCTCCTCCTCCTCCTCCTCCTGCTGCTCACCCTCCTCCTCCTCCTCCTTCTCCTCCGCCTCCTCCTCCTCCTCCCCTCCTCTCCTCCTCCCCTCCTCCTTCTCCTCCTCCATCCTCCTCCCCTCCTCCTCCTCCTCCTCCTCCTCCTCCTCCTCCTCCTCCTCCTCCTCCTCTCCTCCTTCACTCCTCCTCCGTCCTGCTCCTCCTCTCCTCCTCCTCCTCCTCCTCCTCCTCCGCCTCCTCCTCCTACTCCTCCTCCTCCTCCGCCTCCTCCTCCTCCGTAGCAATTATGGCTCAAGCGGCCCGCTCGCTCCGCCCCTGGTTCGAGCTGGCTGCGGTCATGGCCGACGCGATGGCGGAGGCTCTCCTCGGTGCTGCTGTGCGCGCTGGTGGCTCTCGCCAGGTGGCGGCGGCCACAGCGGTGGCCCTCTGGCGAGCGGCCCAGGCTGGCGGCGGCAACCTGCAGGTCGAGGACAGGGAGGTGGATCACGATAGGGGGCCACATGCGAACCCTACCC